GAAGAACAGTCCATTGTTTACATCTTTGTAAAATCAAAAAGGGCAGAGAACCTGAATTGATCAAAGATCTATATTACAAAATCATTTCGGTTAGAACCCAAACTCACAAGGACCTAGCCTGTCCCTAACTAAGAAATCCTTAGACATAAACTCATAGTTACAAGCAAAGTCGATCTCAACTTGATCACGTAAAACGCGGACTTGAGCACCAAGCCAAGCTTCGCTATGATAAGCGTCGGCCGACCAACATTAGTAGCATCGCCACAAGGAGCAGCTAGCAAACACTGAAATTCACCTCCCGCGATCATGCATGCCAACGAAGGATTAGACTCGAAATCGTCACTTAGTTCAAACATTCGAAATAACTCAGCCCAGAGTTGAGATGGGTTGAGATGAGTATATAAATACTTAGTCGCAAAAGGACACGCAAAGCTAAGATAAGTCGAAGTCATGCCGAAGACGCCTCTTCGACCCCCACCGCAAAGGATGAGCTGACCCGATAAAATCAGCAAAGCTGAGCCGACTCGGGTAACTCATTCAGTGATCAAAGACAGAAAAAAAAAATTTTGAAACAGCTAAGCTAAAGTAGAAAAAGACAATAACTAAAGGCCTGAAGCAGCAAGTACGAGGATTAAAACCCTCCCGGGCACCAAATAGAAACAAGTTCATAACAGCTAAAGAGAAATTTCTCATCAGAGTATTGAGGAAAAAAAAAGAGGTCAGGCCTCGCCAGCGGCGCCGGAAGCATTACGATCGTCTCAAGTGGGCTCGATCTGCTCGCCAGAACCCTCGGCATCGTGCGTTGCTTAATCAACCTCCATGGCCGCGGCGACGAAGTCCTCTAAAATTTGAAGAAGCGGCAACTTGCTAACAGAAAAGTCGGACACCTTGGTAGACTCAAACTCGTTTTCAAACAGCAGCTGCTGAGCAGTCAGCTTCTCGTGCTCTTCCTCAATGGTGGTCGACCGCTTAGTCAGCGCCTCCAGCACCTAGATGTTCGCATGAAGCTCGTGGAGGTGGATCTCGGCGATGATCTCACCTTCATTCCTCTTAAACTTATCACTTATAAGTTGGAGGACGACATCGAATTCACCAGCAAGATCACGACGGCCGCCACACCGGGCTGCCTTCACCTCCGTATCACGAGTAGCCTTCAGGGCGCTGACCTCGATCTCCAGCCCCCAATTGAGCTCGGACAGTTCCTTCGACTACTGGATTATGCCGCGACTCTTCTCAAGAAAGAAAGCAGCCTTCTTATTAGCATGGTCGAGTTGCCCTTCCAGGTCGGCCACCCTTCCTTGAAACATGACGATCGGGTCGGACTGGTCGGAGAGAAGCGCAACCTTTTCCCTAAGCTCAGCAGCCTCGGCCCTCGAAGCGCTCAAGTCGGCGGCCATCCTCTCCAGGACTTTCTTCATGACCTCGACCTCGACCTCGACCTCCTCCTTCCGCGGGATGTCATAGAGACGGACTTCGGCGTCGGCCACCAACTGGTTAGCCGACTCTATGGCCTAAGATCCGAAAAAGAATGAAATGATTAGCTTAGACAAATTGATCCAAATATTCAAACCAAAAGCATAGAGTTTAATCTTCTCAAACGCGGAGGTCATGGCAATGTAGCGATTGCGAAGAATCATATTCTTGACAAGTGGCGATTGCGAAGAATCATATGGCATCTATCTCTCTTCTCTTCTTGCATCCCACATGGCGTAAAAACCATTATATAGTAGTATATTTTTTGTTGGTCGAAAACCATTATTTTATTCTCTAAAATTTGGGAAAACGTACTAATTCCACGCCCCCAAAATATCCA